AGAAAAAAAATGAAGAGTAAGTTAGGAGAGAGAGAGACTTTGTTTTCTCCAGCTTAGTTGCTCGACGCTGTGTTGTAGCGGACTTGCGCTTTTTCCTGAATCCCTTGCCCATGATATGCCTACGTTAGTGTGTGGTACAATATCCATTATGGAGCCTCTCACAACAATTAAAGTTATTGGTACCAAGTGGTTTTTGAAAGCCTCTCCTAGCTATTTCAAACAACACTTCTTAGTTTTTTTAGTGAAAAATCTGCTCAGCTGTGAGATATGATAGTGTGTTCAGCTCCTATTTATAGTTCGGGAAAGACAAAAAAAATTACAGTCAAAATTATATTAAGGAGACATCCGCACCCCGAACTGCTCCGCAATGGTCTTCTCGGCATCTGGGCCACCAATTTCTTGATTGGCCACTGTTGGAGTTGGACCCGACGGAATGGCAGGTGGAGGAGTAGGAGAGTTCTTCATCCGCGCCCCGAACTGCTTCGCAATGGGCTCGACCGCATGTCGGCATATTACCTTCTTCATGGAAGGCTGACCTATGGCCGTCTGTCCACCTCTACCATTCCACTTTCCAAGACTCTCCTCTCAACATCACTTTAGCCAGAGCCACCCTGTAGGAAACATATCCATCCCCCAACTGAACTTCACTTTTTTCATTGAATGCTGGCCCGTGACCGTCTGTGCACCTCCACCATAAGGGGTTTCCAAGATTCTCCTCTCAACGTCACTTTAGCTAGAGGGTGGGTATGGGAATTAAGTGTAGGAAACTTATTGATAAGGATGTTGGATGACGATGGTCTTGCGTAAAGAGGGGTTAGTTTTTTTTTTTGTTACGTTTAGTAATTAATAGGTTTACATGCACCGGTTGGATTTCTGGGTTAGTACTTTTATGTGTTACTTCCATGGGGTTAGTAGTTTACGTGTTGTGTGTCATTAGTGTATGGGTCTAAGGTAGTGGGCAGCATGGGCCGAGTGGGATTAGTAGTTAGTGTATGAGTCTTCTTTGTGCGCCAAGTCAGATAGGTGGAATAGGGTTTACGTATTAGCGTTTTATCATTACATAAATGATAAGTTCGGCATTTGTCCGCTTTTATCAAAATCAATAAACAAATAAAGGCTTTTGATAGTTTACATCGTTCCCTCGCTTGTTAGTTACAAGCAAAACTCTGAAACCGTGAGTTACAGTTCATCATGTATACATCCCCCCAATGAGTGTATAGATTTGTATTCATACCAGCAATGTACCCGACGCTCCGTAGAGGGATGAGCTCCTGAAAATACATTCCAGGAATAAAATTTTCTAGTTTCGGGGTTCAAGAAACCAAACAAGATGAAAGAACATAATAATATTTTCATCCAGATTATGTATATATGGTTGCCATGACATATCTTATCAAGGATGCAGATGACGAGAATGATATGAGTGAAGTGTGAAAAGGATGTTTCGAGAAAAATTTCAAACTAATGAAGCACCAAGTAGCCGATCTAGAGGGAGTTGGTGTCAAAATAGAACCGAAAAGCACAAGAACACACAAAGTAGTTTTTTTAACGTGGTGACACTAATCCACGTACGAAGAGGATCTCATTCTCGGGTTCTAGTTATTATTACGGCTTAAATAAAATTTTCAAATCTATATTGACCCAAATTTATTACATATGCTTCATTTCCAAAATCAAAGAATTCAACACAAATATTCATCTTTTAAATCCAAAAAACAAATTAGTCATAAATCCATACATCTTTTTTGACAATTTCAGTTATGTGTGTATTCAGCTTCTATTGGAAAATGCTAAAAAACTTTCCATCCAGGTTGCAACACCAAAATTTAATCAAAATATGAACTCTAATTATGATCGATAATCATCTTCATTAATGGGAAGCTAGCACTGAGTTATTCATTTACAACAAATACTCCCTCCATCATTTTTTGTTTTGCTCTTCCCTGTTCATGCTCTATGTTTGCATGCGTTTTCTTTCCTGTTTTTGTTCTCTTTTGGTTTGTTGTGTCTTCTCCCTTTCATGTTTTGTTTGTTCATGTTGGGCTTGGGATCACACCTCCAACTAATGATGTGAAATGGGTTGGTATGGTGGATGAATGTGATCCATCTTTTTTTTTTTGTAAATGATAAAATTTGGATGGGTGGCGGGTGAGTGCAAATCATCCAATATATATTGTATAACTAATCTACATTATGCAATAATACGCTTATATTTTCTATCTCAAAATGTTAATCGTGATTGATTTAATTAAATTATCATAACCATTTTCAATAAATTTTGTTTGATTTACAACATAAATTATTTCAAAAATATAATAAGTACTTTTGTCCAAAAATAAGATTGTTGATGCTAGATTATGCAATAAACTACACTTAGTAGTTATCAATTTCGTTGAACTTTGTAACTTTTTCATATGCAATTAGGCAATTATAAGCTTTTAGGGCCATAATTATCTTATTAATTATTTGAAAATTTGAAAAACCACCAAACTCATCCACCATGTTTCATCACCCAACCATCCATAATGGTATAAATGAGTGGATATGAGTAATTTTCTCATCAACTCAAAATTGGGTAAATGTTAGCCTAAAACCCAACTCATGCATTGCCCTCCCCTGTTGGGATTTTGAATAGTGTGAATGGAAATGAAAAGAGAAAGAACCAAGAGAAGCTCTTGAAGTATCACATCGGTGAGACGTGGGAAGATGTCGCCTCGTATTCCATTGATTTGATGTAATATGTGGGTAATTGGTTAAATTGGTTTGTGTAACCAACCGAACCAAACGAGTTTGAGTCGAGCCAAATCAATATGGTGGTTGGGATAACCCAACCCTTCCAACTACCATAGGACCAAACCGATGCAATAGGTGAGAAATTTTAAATGAACCATTGCAATGGTTGGGGTGTAACCACCAATACGAAGAATCGCCTCCCTTCATACTCTATTAATAGCACCTATGCCCTCTGGTTTTGAAAGTCGTTTTCCCCTGACCAAAAACTCTGTCAAAATCCAAAATGATTTTAAGCATTTTTTTCAAAAGAAAAATCGAGTCAAGTGTGGTTCTCGCAGATTCTAAGTTCTCGATGGTTTCCGGGGTTTGAGGTATCGCGATGATGGAAAGGTACATCCTTTCTATCTTGGGAGGAATCATTCCATAATCTTGGGTTTCAGAAGGGAATAAGATTTCTTAAGGAGAGATATTGTATTTTGTCGGCTAAGACGATTGCATATGTTTGCATGGTTTTTGTGATCTTACATGTTACTTATTTTACAAGAAATTTAGTATACGTGAACAATTTGGATAATATTCCCTACCCTCAACAACCTTAATGTATCCTAATAGTTGTTTGCAACTACTTTAGCATCCCTAAATAATAGTTTAGTGACTCTCACCTAGATTTAGTTGATATATCATCTTGTTACACTTAAAAGCGGGATTTTGATGATGTGGGTAATGGGTTGAATTGGAATTTCGATGATGTGGCGGGTTTTGCTGACGTGGCAGGTTGGATATAATTTTTTTTATTAAAATAGGCCGATTGGACGATTCTGTTAGCCACGTCAGCAAAAAACTGACGCCATTAACAGAGACTAACCGGGAGTGACTAAATTTGGATTATTTTATGGGTTGGGTAATGGGTTGAATTGGGATTTTGATGATGTGGCGGTTTTTGGTGATGTGGCGGGTTGGATATAATTTTTTATTAAAATAGGCTGATTGGACGATTATGTTAGCCACGTCAGCAAAAAACTGATGTCGTTAACAGAGACTAACCGAGAGTGACTAAATTTGGATTATTTTATTAATTGTAGTGACCATGAATGATTTTAAATATTTCGAGTGACCAAACATAAACTCTTTTTGGAATCTCAGTGACCAACCATGCAATTAACCCCTTAAAAATGTAATAGCAATATGTGGTGTCGTAAAATTCCTAACTAATTAAATGTTATTTACTGTACCTTTTGTCTTTATATATATATATATATATGGTTATGTCTTCAGTGCACTCAATTTTTTTTTGTGTATTCAATGCACCCGCCTCATAATCGTCATTCTGATTAGACGTTTCATGTGAAAACGATGCCAATCATCACTTGTGGTATGGTGAACAAGAATAACATGAATTTGTACAAAAAGCATTCAAGATTCACTTTAATTTGAATGATTTAGGGTTTAGGAATTTAGGGTTAGGGTTTACAATTTGAGATTTTGGGTTGAGATTCAAAATTGAAGGTTAATAGGTTAGGGTAATGGATTGATTAGTACTGATTCAGTGTTATAACATTATATTAGACTAATGCTACCCATTAAAGTTTAAAATTTATGTATTATGACATCTTTAAAAAAGTGAGTACACCGAAATAGCCACCATATATATTTTCATGAAAATGCTTCATTTTTTTTATTTTTAATCGGATTTCCAGCATTGCAAAAATATGTTTGGATATGCATTGTACGTGATAGATAGAACTATTATTAGCCCTGAAAATGGACAATTATGTTAAGCAAATTAAACTGAAAAAGCGGTTTCGCATGAAAAAAAGCATAAAACACTATTAAAAGTGTATCATATAGTAATAAAACAGTGCTCAAACGCATTTTGAGCATTCACACAACAATTGAGGAGGTTGTCACGCTAATTCATTCTGCATTGTACCTGATAAATAGAACTATTAGTAGTCAATGAAAGGGAACATGTGCAAATTATATTAAGTAAACTGCACTGCTTATTAATTACTATAATATTACAATATTATTAGTAATCGTAGCTAGCTAGCTAGTAGCTAGACAATGAAATAACAATTATTTATGAGTAGTAATGACAGTAGTAAACCTACATGTTGGGGATCTAGCTAGTTTAATTTACGTTCGATATATTTGTATTGAGAAAGCTAGCTAGCAGAGCTTTATTTAGCGATTACTTCATCACTGATAGCTGCTTCTTCTCAAAATGAAACTTGTGGTTGGATACGTAACCATATAACTTCATCACTTCACTCCATATGTTTGTAGTCCTGGCTGCCATAAGGGCTCAGCGCCTCAGCCAGAAAGGAGTTCTTCCTCCAAGAGCTCAACCCCATTTCTTCACAGATCTCATCGCTGTGATTGATGCTGTAAGTGGAGATGCAGTGCCTCTGGTAAAACCTCGTCGTCTTCTTCATGATCTCGATCTCCTGCGATATATGCTCGCACATCTTCTCCACCTTGGGGAGCTTGAACTTCTTGTCCGCCAGTCGTGCCAGCCAGATGCTGCGGAGCTCTGCGGTGTGGAGATTCGCAACGCTCTCGATGTAGCCCACGAAGGCCATGTTCGGTATCAGTGGGTTGATCGTTCCCCTGCACCATCAGCACACTTAGTACGATTAAACGAAAGCAGACTCATATGGACTTGAAGTTTGTATAGGTCTGAATATCATGTGATTGACTGAACATATATGTGTCTTTGGAATTTGAATAGACGACCTCTCACTCACAAAAAATAGGTTCTGATTACCATGTTAAAAATCATTTGATCCAGTAATTCAAGTTGTTGAGAAAAATATGGACTTGAAGTTTGTACACGTCCGAATTTATCATGTGTTTAACAGAACATATATATGGGTCATTGTGATTAGAACAGAAAACTTTTGTGATAGGCTCAGATTACTATGTTAAAAACCATTTGATCTAGTAATTCGAGTCGTTGAAAAAAGTACGTACCTGTACAAGGGCATGACACCAGAAGGGTACTCGAGGAAGCTGCGGAAGGGCTCGGGGATGATGTCGGTGAGCTTCTTCTTGCCATCGTAGCCGGTGGCGAGGAGGACGAGATCGGCGTCGAGGCGAGTGTTGTCGTCGAGGAAGTGGAGGCCGGTGGTGGTGAAGGACCATTTGGAAGCTCTCTTGAACAAGATGTTGCCCTTGTCGGCCTCCGGGAAGAAGTCGTTGGGAGTGATGGCCATCTGGCAGGACGCGTAGTCTTCCACGAACGGGTGGTCCGGATTCAGCCCGTACTTCTGGAGCGGGAGCTTGTGGAGAAGGTACGACTCTATGAACTTGGAAACTGCATGCCTCTGCATGCACATGCATGATAATAAAGAGTAACCATCAATATGGACATAATTTGTTAGTACTACGTCGTCGGGTTACGTTTCGTGATCTCAATCGTTGGATGCATGTAAACGAGATTTGTGGGAGGGAGAAATTTGATGGTTTTGTTACCAGTGGGGAAAGGAGGAGGCAGAGGAAGGCCCTGAGGAGGTTCTGGTTGGGACGTTGGTGGATGAACTGGGAAGATCTGGTGGAGAAGAACAAGAAGAATGGGAGCCCCCAAACCCAGTAATGGGGCACGGTCCAGTGTAAGGTTCTTATCACCATGGTGCACGGCTTCCCTTCTGGACCTGCATTCACATATTAATTCATGGAGATTGAATTCACACCTTGGAGAAAGAAAGATGTAGCACTACTGCACTAGCTAATTGGCTTGTTCGCAATAATTTTCTACAACGAAGTCATGGTTAAGTCAGAAATATGTCAATTCAATCAAAGTCGTCGCTCGACCCACAAGCCACCAAACCCAAAAAAAATTATGGGTTACTGAAGTTAAGGTGATTTAGGTTTCATGTTATAAAATGTTCACATCAATCCTGAGTTCTCGAACTGAGTTCGGCTCCGGTAATAATTTATCATGTCTAAGTAAATTGTGAAAGTAAGTTATCACTAGGGATGGCAAATTACCCACCCATTGGTAATTATACCCAAATCCAAGTAGACCCATTGATAATGGGTTGGGTATGGGTGAAGTGCATATGGATTTGGGGGTTTATAGATGGGTTTGGGTAAGGTATGAATATTGCTTCCATAATCTAAATGGGTATGGGATGGATATGGATATCCATTTACTTGAGGGTGATTTAACTAGGGGTGGCTATACGGTCCGGTCCGGTTAAATTGGACCAAATTAATCCGGTCCCAGTCCGGTCTTTTCGGGAATATAAGGACCAAAGATTGGATTGGATACAATCCGGTCTTGATTCGGTCCGGTCTTGACCTGATCCGGTCCCAATTTGATCTTGATTTTAGGTGTTGGGGGTCTCTTATCCGGTCTTAATCCGGGTTTTTACCTCAAATCTAAGCCCGAATATGAGATTGGATTGTTTGTTATCCGGTCCGGGTTATACGGTCCGGTTTCGGGTAAAACCAAACAGTCTAGGACCAAATAGCCAGCCCTAGTTTTAACTATACATGCAAAAATTGGACCTATTTGTAAAACTTGAAAAGTTTAGGTACCAAAATGTAAGACAAAAAAATTTAGGTACCGAAACATAATTTTTCATCGATATTTTTGAGGACTTATATGCAAAAAAAATAAATTTAGGTACTAAATATGCATATCTATTAAGTTTGGGCACCAAACTGTAATTTGTATTTGGGCATGGGTACAAACCCAAATCCATTTGATATAAATCCAACTCAACCCATAGTAAATGGGTATGAGTACAAACCCATCAAACTCTACCTATATCCATCTATTTGGATTTTATACCCAACCCAATTGAGTTGGATAGGAAAAAACTCATGGGTTTGGGCAAAGTTGTCATCCCTAATTATCACGGTAAAAGATGGAACTTAAATAATCTTAACAAGAGAAACATCTTAATTTCTCAAAGCAAGTAGGTTTAGAATCTTTAGTTAGGCTTCCAGTTAGAACTGAATGATCAGTGGTCCAATCAGTCTGAAATCTACCTACCTACCTTACTGAGTGAAAACAAAACTGAAGGACCACTAGCTATAACGCCCTGCTCACTGTAGACTGGTAACATCTCTATCAACAATATAGTATGTAGTAATTAATATTCATTTTATTTTTTACGCGGTAGGGTTTGTTTTATTATTCAACCGCGTAAAAAAAATTATGCATGCACGACAGGGTACGTCTTTCTCACCAGACATGTTTATGTGATGTTTTCCACGCAAGATTTGACGACCAGACCAGAGTAAGTAAACAAACAGTCCTACTTGATCGATAGTGCTACTTACCCAATTATTTTTTATTTGGTCGGTCAGCGCTGTTTGCTTTTTTCTAAGTTGTATCTAAGGTAACATTATTACAGTTTGACATTTCATAGATCTTTTTTAATTTGTTTGTCTACCTTGACAAATGATATTTTTCTCGACTTTTTTGGTCATTAAGTCCAAATGTGATGGTCAAATAAATAAAAGCCATGTTTTCATAAGAAAGGGTGGTTTGTTTCAAATTGTCAACCAAATTTTCAGCTAGCTAGCCTTGATATACAAGAAGTTTCACTCGTACACAATATTCCGTCATAAAAAAACAAATTTGACTTATACTATCAGTACTTCATAAGCTTTGTTTGACCCCTTTTTCTCCAGTAAGCGATGTAAATAAACTACATCAAGGCTTGCAAGCTGTATTGATTTATATTTCCAAATTTCATATACATCCAAATTGAATTACTTCAGTAAATACTATAAAATTGTTATGAGAAAAAATGGTACAAATTAAATGTGTATTATAAAGATTTTTTTGACAATAAAAAAAAATCTTTATAATACACATTTAATTTGTACCATTTTTAAAGATGCAAATACAGTTTTCACTATAATTTTTTTAATATAGGTGCCAACTAAATGGTACTATAATTTTCTATACCATAATTTTTTTAAATAAAAACACCAATATTATTAAACATTGTAAAATTCCTTGTAATATATAACCCGAGGGACAAACACAAGTTGCGGTGAGCCAACAAGTCGTTATCATGCGACTTTTACTTCATATATATACTTACCGAGTTTTCTTATTCTTTTGTTTGACTATCTAGGCGAATGTTCCCTATTTAATGTTTGACATGAAAGTTCCTCCCCATGCACGCTCGCTCGACTCCTTTCTTTTAAGTGGAAAATATGCAATTATATATATACATGTCTATCTAAATTCTAACGCATCTTTCACTCAACAACACTCTGTTTCCTGACTGCCTGTCAGCCTCTAAGAAAAAACCAGCTTTCTAGATTTTTAAAGTATTATTAACAACCATCCACAATATTTTAAAAAAAAAAAAATACCATCAACTAAAAAGAAAAAGGAATTGAAACTGCAAGATTGACTTAGAACAACGTCAAAGACATGCAAGAAGTTAAAAAAAAAGTCCAAACCCATGGAAGACAATAAGATACAGACAGGCCATGTCGTTTTTTTTCTCGTTATTTCTAATTTTCTATCAGTTCCCACTGACAATTCAACATTTACGAAAAATGTCGTTAACAGAGAAAATAAGGCAAGAAAAAGTACCTTGGTTTGCTTGAGCGCATTCCACAGCCAAATCGATAGCCGATGATGGCAACCTTCTTCCCTCTCATCAACTCCGTCGCTTCTTCCTTGTCCAGTTTGCAGTAATCCATGGAGTGCATCACCTTCCCCTTGAATATCTCCGGCCCTCTCTTCTGCGGGAACTCTGGTATTTTCGGTACGTCACCATACTTCCCCGTGCACACCACCAGCATTTCAAACTCGTACCACTGAAATATCCGTAAAAAAATGAATTCTTACGATATCGTGTCAGGACGACGAAGTTATCGTAGGAACTCCATAAAGTTGGCCTAGTAGTAATGCGAGGATGAGAACAACCAACGAAATATATACCTGTATGGTACTCTCCGGACCATTGGGTCGCACAGCCACCTCCCAGACCGGGCGGCCGGGGAGAAGGGCTCCATACTCACCGTCACCGCCGGTTTGGTGTAGATCATGACGACCACCTCCATCGCCGCCGACGAACCTGATCTCCACCACCTTGGTGTTGAAGTTGACGTACTTGAAGAGATCGAAACGGTGAGCATAAGACGTGAGGTAGTCCAGAATGTCGAGGTGGGAGGGGAAGGTAGGGTCGTCCCTGTTGGGCCAAGGGAAGTCGGCGAACTCGTAGTCCTTGCGCGGGGACTGGAGCTTGGTGGAGTGGTAAGAGCAGCTCTTCCACACGCCGCCGATGCAGTCGCCGGCCTCGAACACCACGGGGTCGTAGTGGGCCAGCTGCTTCAGAGCCGCCACCCCACTCACCCCGGCGCCGATGATCCCCACTTTCGACGATCTCACCACGGCGCGGCTCTGGCTAGCCATGATGGATGGAGAGCTTTGGAGAAGTTAACTTTTTAACGTTTTTGGGTTTTGAAGAGGAGGAGGAGATTATTGGTGTGTTGGTGGGAAATGGGATGGTGCATGGTTCGTGTATTTATAGGGTTATATGAATGAGCCTACTGTGGGTCTGAATAGGGGTGGCAGTTCGGTTACCTGTTATCGGTTAATCGACCGGTTAAACTGATAACCGACTGGTTATTCATTAACCGGTAATCGAAGTAATCGAATTTTGGTCGATTATTGGAGGTTGGATGAAATGGTTTGTGGTCTTAAAAGTGGTTCGGTTAATCGATAACCGAGATAACCGAGAAACCGAAGCCTATTTCGATCGGTTTTCGGTAGGAGGAGTGGTTATTTCAGTTAACCGATAACCGGCCGATCAGTTACCGATTATAATCGAAATAACCGAACTGTCACCCCTAGATCTGAAAGCATGTGAACTTGACTAACCTATAGAGAGAGATAGAGGACAGAAGAGGTGATGACAACGATGACGACTATTTCTCGATCAGGGGAATATAATTCTACTTTCCTTTTGTACATAGTGGTCGTTGTTGATACGATGATATAGTATGAAACTAAGATTTTCTGGTTAGGAAGTGTGGGAAATTGATGGGGTACAAAGGCGGAAGTTTCCCTTGTGAGCAGTTTTGATTTGGGGGGGGTTGGTTTGGTTTATAGGAGGAAGTATAGTAGTATTCCGTGGATGGTATTGGTAGGTTGTGTTGAATTATTAATCTTTTTAATTTTCTGTTCAAAGTCCAACTCACAATGTTTGTATGTATAATAATTATTTAGATTATTGATTAATGATATACGTTGAAATTTCGTTTGGGTCATATATATTTGAATACCAAGTAAAATGTAGGAGTGATGATGAGATGATCATATGCATGTGGCCATGCAGTATGTGTTTGTTTTCATATAGGTGGTTTGCTATACTTTCTTGGCAATGGCTTAGGCAATTGTGAGAACACCTTCCTTGGGAGTCAAATGCTTGTTTATTTAGAGATTAGAAAAGTTACATATTAAAAGAAAAATAGTGGTTGCAAAAGATTCAAGATAGCATAGCAAATCCATTCAAGTCATTAGACCCAATGAAAGCGTTCACATATGCACACCCCCTTCACCTGTGGATATTTAATTCAATTCGATTTGGTTATATTGGATAGACCTCAATATTGACCGATTTCGGGTTTCTAACCATCGCCAAAGGTCCGTATAACCCTCGCTAATGTACAATTTTGTTGTAGTGGTACTATTGAATTATGCTCAAAGGTTAAGAAGAAAAAAGGGATGGAATGTATGTTATATTAAACCTCTAGAAACAGAATAAGAGTTGCAATAGGAATTATAGATGACAACCGCCATAGGGGCTATCTGGCAAAGGATCAAGTACATACAGTTACGTACTTACGTTATGTATAACTAGGTCAGATCTCTTGATTAAAATCTAATAGTTCAGATAAGTTCTGGGAAAAAAAAAGGATTCATTTTATATATCTACAAATTGATGTAAGTTTTTAACTTATTCGGATAAAAGAATTTGAACCAATTATACAACCATCTGTTACCATCGTGAATTTCCAACACTTCTTACCACCATTATATATTATGTAGTAGTGATAAAAAAAAAGGCTTGACTAGCTTGCTTTTTATTTCAAAATATGTTAAGTGGATGACATTATTTAGAGCATAATTAATATGACTTTTTTACACAATGATATATTATATATAGACCACTTTCTATCACTGTGGCATAATATTTTGTATGTACCACCATAATATATCATGATATATTATACAAAAAATGTATTGATTTTTTCTGTGTTCCAAAATATATTAAAAGTGAATCTAATTTTCTATGTCTAAAATTGATAGAATAATTTGAATTTCAAAAGGGGATTATATCGATATTATCTTGAAGAGATATACAAATACAACGAGAAATCTATGCAGGCAATCCAAGATGAAGTGTTAATAAAATTAACTACAATTAAGTATATGGCTAAATTTTCTGTAATCAAACTTGTATAAAATTATGAAAGTGGTAAATTGTACAGGTTTTGTAGTTTTTAATTGAGACTTTATGGAATTTTTAAGGTCTAAAGATTTTAGAGTAAAATCAGGATCGGTACATATTTTAAATTGTAAAATTTTAAATTTTTGGAATTAAAATTGAGATTTTGACTACATTTCTTATAGCCCTACCTCAATTTCCAAATATGATTTAAAATCTATGGTGAATTTGTGGTAAATTTAGTTACCCACATTTTCTTTGGATTAGAACCCAAAATTATGAATATTAGGAACAATAATAAGTATTTCTCTCTTTTTTTCCTCCAATTTTATGTAGCCTCAATTTGAAATTGAAACGTCAAAGAATCTATGTCCTTCAAATTTTTTTATTGTGGTCCTTGCTGATTTACGCGGGATTCCACGTGCCTCATGCTACTCGGGTTAGAGCGAAAGCTAGTGTAAACTAACAGTCGAATTTGAATCACTAATCATACTATTATCAATTTAAATATGTTTTAATGAATTGCAAGTTAAATCATATTAAAATTGTAATGATTAATGATAAATCTTAATTTTTGATTGCATATAAATACACCATATATAGTTAATAAAGAGTTTGTAAAAATAGATAATTTGTAAAAATTACAAATTGATGTTTTCAAATATTTAATGTAATATTAGAAACAATTTCTATAAATCATTTAAATGGGGCAGAGTGCAAATGTAGTCCTACAAATGTATTATGAATGTCTTAATGTGCATTCCAGAATTTTCGAAACATGAAACATGTGAGCATCATCGTAACACGCTCCACCTTCTTCCCAAAGGATTTGAAAATGAATCGAATGGGAAATTCTGATGTCACAATATCTCCTTTTTACTTCTTCTTATTTAAAATTGGTGCAATGAATTATTTTTAGAGATTATCAGCAAGATGATTCATTATAGTTAGTAAAATAAGATAGGGTTACGTACGTTATGTATAGAATATGTACGGGTATTTTACGTCATCTCTAAAATAATGATATGTTTAATATTACGTTAATAGTTATAAAATATGTGAAATTAATTATTTTAAATATTACTTAATATATAAATAATAGTTAAGTTAGAAATTTTATTTATCAAATACAAATATTAAACATGTTATACGGGTTTTATACATATTCAATACATGTGGCATAAAATCCACGAGAAAAAATAAAATAGGTAGACAATAATATGGATACGAAAGTTTTAAATGGATAAAATACATACGGACATATATACATGAATTGAACAGTATTTTTAATAATTTTATAATAAAAATTATCTTGTAATAATTTCTACAAAGCATTCATACCTATCTTATCAGAAATCCCTTGGTACGATCGACCTCAACCCTCCGATCTATTTGTTTTTCTAGGTTGACAAGGCACAAGCACAATGCTATTAGTCAGCCTTTTAAAAGGATATGCCAAAACCATATATGGGGTGGGGGTTGGTCTTGTGTATACATTCACGAAGAACAGAAGGATGAAGCTCATGCATGAACATGGGACGATTCGCAACAAGCCGACAAGCCGTCCAATTCACCCTATATACATCACGAGGTTACATGACTTCGAGAAACCTGTTGTTTCATAATTAATTAAGTTATAGATTGAGAGGTGTCGAACGAGAAAATAATAGCCCAGGAAGGATGGTGTACAATTACTCTATATCCCCGATGAATAGTGTATCTATCTTTTATGTAAGAGAAGAAAATGGAATTGGAAATATCCCAGAATGTTGGAAGAAGGTGGCGGGAAAAATCGCCCAGAGAGGGAATGACTGAATGAGTCTATATTAGAGTAAAGGATTCTCTGAACAGTCGAAGGAAAGTTGACAAGTGCTTGATGTCCACGCCTCTCTCTCTCTCTCTCTTGGAAATTAGATCAAAGTCAGTGCCAAATACTGTAGTGATGAGTTGGTCTGTCAATGGTTTTCTTCCTTCGATTCCTTTGATCCTTTCCTTTCCCTGTCCTTATACTCAAGCATGCGGTTACTTTCTACAACCTTGGCATTTGTGTCATGATTTTGTTTTCTACGTTGCTTCCTTTGTTTCCTCTTCTCGAATGAGACCCGACTATGACATTATTATTCTATTGCCAAACCTTGAACTTTCTGTAGCTCTTATCATTTTCGTTCCATTCTTTCTGTCGACCATTTGTATAAGGAAAAAAATGTTGTTGGATTTTCTAGGAGACATGATGTTCGACTTCGTCCTGTGAGAGCTAAGAGCCCCAGATTTGTATATGGACTTTGAAGTTTGGTGTAGAGCCATCAGCCATGTGATCAGATACATTGAATGTAGTTTATTTAATTATCGTAGTAGTTGGCTTTGATTTGTGAGCTGCGATTAAACCACTAAATTACATATCAAATCATGCACAATTTGGTTAACCCATAATTTGTGGTTAGTGGTTTGGTTGTACTAATTATTAAATCATGCATTTTGCGTTCACTAATTATGGCTCGACAAAATCACAATAGCTACAAATGCTACACATACATGTTAATGTTTTATTTTCTTAAATTTTAGCGCTAGCTAGTAGTTAATATTAATAAACGTACTTGTTTTTCAGTGAGAAAACTTGCGTTGAAATCGAATTGATTGTACATTTGACTTTTTCGGGTAACGATTACTAAGACACGGCTCATCACTCACACTCCTACTCCTATCGAGGTTCAGCGAGAGCTCCACACTACGAACTACGTCTATGGCTACATGATAGCTAGAGAAAAGGTAAAGGATAAACTTGACATATGTGTCAGTCTGTCAGAGTGTTGGTTTTGGGAACCCTTTCTCTATGAACCCCTCCTCCTATTTATAGCCATGAGGTAGTCACCGTAGTAAACAAGCGTCTAGAGAGTAACTTCCAAAAAGAACGGTTTCCCTTCTTCCTTGGACGTGGCTGATGGGTGCTTGAATGTGGAAAATT